ATTTTAAGTTTTTAGGTCTCAAGATAGGTCCAAAATATCCGAAAAAGGTCAAAATAGTTTTGGAAAAATATGTTCAAATTTTGGATTTATTTTAAGTTAAATAAAAATACCTGGAATTTTTCTTATCAATTTTAAATAATTTAAAAATTCTAATTTACTGCCCAAATCACTCAAAATTATTCTTCTAACGTTACTCAAAGTGTTTTTGCGTGTAAAATTATTTTTTAAAAAACGTTTACTGCCCGAATCACTCACTGCCCAAATTACTCACTGCCCAATTCACCACTGCCGTTTTCACCAGACACGAAATTTATAGCTTTAAATGGCACTTGTTTATTAATGGATTTATTTTTTAGTTTTTTAAAGATTTTTTAATTAATCCTTTTCAAGCTCTTAGCTTAATTTCTCAGTAATCTGCTAAAAATACAAGACAAGGTCAAAATCATGTGAATATGCCATGATTGAGTACATATTAGAAAAATGCCCTCCTAATCTAATCTACCCATTTTAATAATAATTTTTTCATCTCTGCGATAATGTTCTTTCCTTCCTTTTCTCACATTAATAATTTGTATAAGGTCATATACATATTTTTTCATGACACTTGAATGAGGTTTTTTGCGTAATTATTTAACTTGAGCCAATTTTTACTCTACTGAAACTCTCTCTTAAGTAAATGCCTTCATAAATAATTACCCTCTCCAGCGAGAGATTAACAATAGCCTCGGGGTAATTATTTAAGCACGGTGATCTTTTAATCCATTTTTATCTTAAAACAATATATTTTCTTTCATTTTTTCCTCAATTTTTTACACTAAAAATCCAGGCTTCTTCAATTCTCACACACATATAAACACCCTTTTACCTTTCTTTCCTCCCACACAATTTTTTATATTATTATACATTTATATATATTTTCTATATACTATTCATTCTTGTTGCTCATTTGTAAGAACATTGTGTTCCTTTTTTATAATTTTTTTAAAAAAATAATTTTTATCGGCCGATCGGTTGTTGGTGACAGAGCTCCCCACAAAAGCCTTTTTTCTGCAAAGTGTTGATTTTGCTTGGATGGGCACTTTAATGTTCTTGTTTTTGTTGTTGTTGCTGCCAGTCATTGCTCTCCAACAACGGCAGGCCTTTTCTCTTTCTATATACTCTTCGTTTTTCTCTGTTTTTTGAAAATACCTCTTCCAAACAAAAATCATCCCCATCAGAATTATGTAAAAGCTAATTAATATCAATATTAAATTAAAATGTGTGTTGATCTCTTTTGTAGTTATCAATATCAGGGATCTATCCGATCGGTAAAATTCAGGAATTCCTGACGTTTTTTGGCCGAGATCCCGATTTTCCAAAAGGGAATTTATCTTTTTTATGTCGACTAGATTTGTGATATTTATAGGTCATATGGAGGATCTAGCATTAAATTTTTAACTGGCTTTTTTCTGCTTTCTTCTGGGCCTGGAAATTTAAAAAACTTTAAAAATAATTTTATTTTGAAAGAAATTTCTGGACCCTACTGGGAACCTTAAAAAACTGAATTTTATTTTGGAAATTTTTTTCCGATCTTGAGGCCTATCATTATATATAGTTACGCCGCCTTAATGGCAGCAGCAACCTTTTAAAAAAGGTTGCTGCCTCTGATTTTTCTAAACTTTTTATTGACCTTTATCTACTTGATCTTTGTATTTATTTCAAAAAATATTTTTAAATGTTGATCTTCTGGCTTCCAACTTGTTTTGGGTCCCCTTTCCAATTGTTTTCATCCTTAAAGCCTTTTGTACATCCCGCGGTGTCCCTTTCAATTTTTACCCATTTTTCTTCCATTTTTTCAATGTCCCCTTCCTCTCTCTCCATTTTCTTTCTAATTATTCAATTTTTACAGTTCAAACTTTAAAAAATTTTTTCAAAGAAAACTGGCGACTAACAAAAACTCTTTTAAATTTTAGAAAAAAACGGAGAGAAAAATGTGAAATATAGGCGCTGTGGGAAAGTTTTTTTTGGTGAAATTCAGTCCTATTTACAGCTTCTTTTTTTAAAGATTCATTTAAATTTAGGTTTAAATGGCTACTCTATAAAAAATAGAGGATTTATCCATTTACTCTATTTTCTCAAAAAAATTTTTTCCTAAACCGTTCGACTTTTCTTTGTTTTTTCTTCACTATTCTTCACGTTTCTTCATTTTCTTCTTCAATTTTTCTTCTTCATCCTTCATCTTCATTTCTTCACATTTCCCTCTCCTTCTTCTTCCACTCTCGAATCTCTTAAATTTTATTCAAAAATTTTTAATCAATCTTGGCATCAAAAAATGATGGAAAAGGACAACAACAACATTAATTCTCTCTATTTTTCATTTAAAGGCCATAGAAAAATTAAAATATTTTTTTAAAGGAATCAAAGAGATTTACTGAAAAAACAACAATAAAAACAAATTTTAAAAGAATATTTTTCAGCAAAATTTTAAAATTTTGCCCTTGTTTTTGTTTCCCTTCTTCTTCAAGTTCACAACAAAAATCACATCTTTTTCTCCAATAAAATACCTTTACTTTTTATTCCTCCAAAAATTCATTTTCGCCTCATTCACCCCTTAAAGCTCCGATTATCTTCTCTTAAACCTCTATTTTTTCATCTCATTTATTCATATACGGCCTTCCTTCACCTTCCCCTTTACTTTTTTGCATATACTATAACTTAGGCCGGAAGTTCACCTTTTTATTCTTCTTCATTTTTACACAATTTTTGCTTGATCATTCTTCTTTTTTCTGATCTTATTTTTAATAATATTATTATTTTTTTCTTATTTTTTTACGAGGAAATTGACCACTTTTCTAAATAAATATTCAGGATTTCAGAAATTTTTTTGAACTTCCTAACATTAAAGAATAGAGTTGTCCGATGATTCAAGACTTTTCTCGGGTTTTTTTTCTTGGGTCTAGGTCTTGAATTTTGGAAAATTTTCGGTCTCGAACAGCTCTATTAAAAAAACCAACAATTAAAAATCAAAAAAACATTTATCTATTTCCTCCAATCATTTCATTATTATTAACTCTCGAGCCATTGGACAACATTATTGTTGTTGTTCCCAGAAGGGACGTCTGACGTGTCCCCTTTGCCCCCTCTTTTAAATAAGGAGGGTAAAGCTTTCTTAAGATTTTTTCAAATCGATCTATAAGGCTGGTTTTTAACCGATTGTTTCAATGTTCTTTTTGTGTGTAAATATTTTTTTAATGAATAATATTTTTCTTGGGAAAGAGAATATAATTTTTTTATAAATGTTAAAAAAGAGAGAATTGTTTTTAAAAAAAAATAAAAATGCCACTTTATCATTTAAAAAATTTTTATTTATGGTGTACTTTTGGTTGTGTACTTTATTTGAGAAATGAAACATTTTATTAGTAAATTAAAAAAATTTTTTAATTGCTTATGTTGGTGAAAAAAATCTTTTCTAATTTTAAATAAAAATTTTTTTAAATTTATTTTTTAGCAAAAATACATATAACAACGAATGATATTCCTTCTTAATTAAAAAAGATATTCTTCTACTAACATGAATTATTATTACTATATTTTTCTTCAATTCTCACTTCTTTTGTTATTTTCTTCTTATAATAAGGCTAATGATGAATCGTTAAAATTATCTTCTGATAAATCTGGATTAAGAAATCGTAACTTTCTTAATTTAAAAATGTTTTATGATTAAAAAGGAGTTGAGATTTGACTGATTCCGGCCTCTATAACTCAAGAAGGATCGGATACCTTTTATTGATCTTGGCACCATTAGATAAAGAATTGAATACATTACAAAATCCAAAAAATCAAAATTCCCGACTGAATGATAAAAAAGTTAAGGGTTCCAAAAATGTTAAGAACTAACCATCCTTTCTTGAGTTATAAGGCCGGGACTTAAGTCAATTGAACTGCTCCATTTCACATTTAAATTTTTTTAAAGTTTGTCTCGGCACTTCAAATGGTCGGGCAATGGTGGATTATTTTTCTATGAACAGATATACATTTTTAAGAAAAGCTTATGAAAATTGTCGTCATATAACTGGAAATCTTGAAATTGCTTATGTTTTTAAAGAAGATATTGAAAATGATTGGTTGCTACAAAAACAAGAAAATGAACAAAGAAATGTTACAAATATTTTGTTGAAACCTCGAGAACCTTTTTATTTTTTACAAAATTTGGAAGAGGTAAGGAATGGAGGAATTTTGAAAAATTTTTTTGAAATATTTTGAAATTTTTAAAAAAATTTTTGAAATTCCAAGAAAAATTTTTTTTATTAACAGATTTATGGATATTTATTCATTTATAATGTTACCGTTGAAGAAATTTCTTTACCATCACTTCGAGTTATTTGGGGAGAAAAATTACTGGAGGGAAGTGCAATAACTGTTGGATCATCATTAACTTTAAGATATTTAAATATGCCGTCATTAAGATGTTTGTTTGGATTTTTTTATTTTTTTAAATATTTTTAGCAATTGTTTCTGGTATTGTAAGAATACACGATTCACCACTTTTGTGTTATATGGAGCAAGATTTGATAAAAGATAATACTGATAATGATAAAAATGTGGATTATAAAGAAGTTTGTTTTATTTTTAAATTTATTTTAAAATTAATTTTCCAATTTTAACAGTTTCTTGGTGACAATTTTAGAGAAAGATTGGACTTGAACCCGTTTAGTGCTCAATGTAGAGCAGCACCAACATGTAGTAAACAATGCAGAGAGAAGAATTGTTTTGGGTAAAAAACTGATAAAAATTTGGAAAATTAAATTTTAATTAATTTAAGGAGCCGGCCTGATCAATGTCAACATGGTAAAATTGAAGAAAAATTTTAATAAAAATTTTAAAATTAAAAAATGCTAGTTAGAAACTTACCCACTCCCCTTTTCCTTATTTAAGAGAGAGAGAATGGTAAAGAAAAGAATGACGCTAGTTAAAATAGAAAAGGAAAGGAATGTGTGGAGAAAAATGGGAAACTCATTCAGAGCAGCCGTGTCCGAGTGGTTAAGGAGGTGGACTTGAAATCCACTGGGCTTTGCCCGCGCAGGTTCGAATCCTGTCGGCTGCGAATAATTTTTTTCGTCAATTAAATTTTTTATTTTTCCCAAATATAAAAAGAATGTGTGGTTAAAATTGGAAAAGAAATTCATAGCAGTCGTGTCCGAGTCTCTCTGCATTGTTTACTACATGTTGGTGCTGCTCTACATTGAGCACTAAACGGGTTCAAGTCCAATCTTTCTCTAAAATTGTCACCAAGAAACTGTTAAAATTGGAAAATTAATTTTAAAATAAATTTAAAAATAAAACAAACTTCTTTATAATCCACATTTTTATCATTATCAGTATTATCTTTTATCAAATCTTGCTCCATATAACACAAAAGTGGTGAATCGTGTATTCTTACAATACCAGAAACAATTGCTAAAAATATTTAAAAAAATAAAAAAATCCAAACAAACATCTTAATGACGGCATATTTAAATATCTTAAAGTTAATGATGATCCAACAGTTATTGCACTTCCCTCCAGTAATTTTTCTCCCCAAATAACTCGAAGTGATGGTAAAGAAATTTCTTCAACGGTAACATTATAAATGAATAAATATCCATAAATCTGTTAATAAAAAAAATTTTTCTTGGAATTTCAAAAATTTTTTTAAAAATTTCAAAATATTTCAAAAAAATTTTTCAAAATTCCTCCATTCCTTACCTCTTCCAAATTTTGTAAAAAATAAAAAGGTTCTCGAGGTTTCAACAAAATATTTGTAACATTTCTTTGTTCATTTTCTTGTTTTTGTAGCAACCAATCATTTTCAATATCTTCTTTAAAAACATAAGCAATTTCAAGATTTCCAGTTATATGACGACAATTTTCATAAGCTTTTCTTAAAAATGTATATCTGTTCATAGAAAAATAATCCACCATTGCCCGACCATTTGAAGTGCCGAGACAAACTTTAAAAAAATTTAAATGTGAAATGGAGCAGTTCAATTGACTTAAGTCCCGGCCTTATAACTCAAGAAAGGATGGTTAGTTCTTAACATTTTTGGAACCCTTAACTTTTTTATCATTCAGTCGGGAATTTTGATTTTTTGGATTTTGTAATGTATTCAATTCTTTATCTAATGGTGCCAAGATCAATAAAAGGTATCCGATCCTTCTTGAGTTATAGAGGCCGGAATCAGTCAAATCTCAACTCCTTTTTAATCATAAAACATTTTTAAATTAAGAAAGTTACGATTTCTTAATCCAGATTTATCAGAAGATAATTTTAACGATTCATCATTAGCCTTATTATAAGAAGAAAATAACAAAAGAAGTGAGAATTGAAGAAAAATATAGTAATAATAATTCATGTTAGTAGAAGAATATCTTTTTTAATTAAGAAGGAATATCATTCGTTGTTATATGTATTTTTGCTAAAAAATAAATTTAAAAAAATTTTTATTTAAAATTAGAAAAGATTTTTTTCACCAACATAAGCAATTAAAAAATTTTTTTAATTTACTAATAAAATGTTTCATTTCTCAAATAAAGTACACAACCAAAAGTACACCATAAATAAAAATTTTTTAAATGATAAAGTGGCATTTTTATTTTTTTTTAAAAACAATTCTCTCTTTTTTAACATTTATAAAAAAATTATATTCTCTTTCCCAAGAAAAATATTATTCATTAAAAAAATATTTACACACAAAAAGAACATTGAAACAATCGGTTAAAAACCAGCCTTATAGATCGATTTGAAAAAATCTTAAGAAAGCTTTACCCTCCTTATTTAAAAGAGGGGGCAAAGGGGACACGTCAGACGTCCCTTCTGGGAACAACAACAATAATGTTGTCCAATGGCTCGAGAGTTAATAATAATGAAATGATTGGAGGAAATAGATAAATGTTTTTTTGATTTTTAATTGTTGGTTTTTTTAATAGAGCTGTTCGAGACCGAAAATTTTCCAAAATTCAAGACCTAGACCCAAGAAAAAAAACCCGAGAAAAGTCTTGAATCATCGGACAACTCTATTCTTTAATGTTAGGAAGTTCAAAAAAATTTCTGAAATCCTGAATATTTATTTAGAAAAGTGGTCAATTTCCTCGTAAAAAAATAAGAAAAAAATAATAATATTATTAAAAATAAGATCAGAAAAAAGAAGAATGATCAAGCAAAAATTGTGTAAAAATGAAGAAGAATAAAAAGGTGAACTTCCGGCCTAAGTTATAGTATATGCAAAAAAGTAAAGGGGAAGGTGAAGGAAGGCCGTATATGAATAAATGAGATGAAAAAATAGAGGTTTAAGAGAAGATAATCGGAGCTTTAAGGGGTGAATGAGGCGAAAATGAATTTTTGGAGGAATAAAAAGTAAAGGTATTTTATTGGAGAAAAAGATGTGATTTTTGTTGTGAACTTGAAGAAGAAGGGAAACAAAAACAAGGGCAAAATTTTAAAATTTTGCTGAAAAATATTCTTTTAAAATTTGTTTTTATTGTTGTTTTTTCAGTAAATCTCTTTGATTCCTTTAAAAAAATATTTTAATTTTTCTATGGCCTTTAAATGAAAAATAGAGAGAATTAATGTTGTTGTTGTCCTTTTCCATCATTTTTTGATGCCAAGATTGATTAAAAATTTTTGAATAAAATTTAAGAGATTCGAGAGTGGAAGAAGAAGGAGAGGGAAATGTGAAGAAATGAAGATGAAGGATGAAGAAGAAAAATTGAAGAAGAAAATGAAGAAACGTGAAGAATAGTGAAGAAAAAACAAAGAAAAGTCGAACGGTTTAGGAAAAAATTTTTTTGAGAAAATAGAGTAAATGGATAAATCCTCTATTTTTTATAGAGTAGCCATTTAAACCTAAATTTAAATGAATCTTTAAAAAAAGAAGCTGTAAATAGGACTGAATTTCACCAAAAAAAACTTTCCCACAGCGCCTATATTTCACATTTTTCTCTCCGTTTTTTTCTAAAATTTAAAAGAGTTTTTGTTAGTCGCCAGTTTTCTTTGAAAAAATTTTTTAAAGTTTGAACTGTAAAAATTGAATAATTAGAAAGAAAATGGAGAGAGAGGAAGGGGACATTGAAAAAATGGAAGAAAAATGGGTAAAAATTGAAAGGGACACCGCGGGATGTACAAAAGGCTTTAAGGATGAAAACAATTGGAAAGGGGACCCAAAACAAGTTGGAAGCCAGAAGATCAACATTTAAAAATATTTTTTGAAATAAATACAAAGATCAAGTAGATAAAGGTCAATAAAAAGTTTAGAAAAATCAGAGGCAGCAACCTTTTTTAAAAGGTTGCTGCTGCCATTAAGGCGGCGTAACTATATATAATGATAGGCCTCAAGATCGGAAAAAAATTTCCAAAATAAAATTCAGTTTTTTAAGGTTCCCAGTAGGGTCCAGAAATTTCTTTCAAAATAAAATTATTTTTAAAGTTTTTTAAATTTCCAGGCCCAGAAGAAAGCAGAAAAAAGCCAGTTAAAAATTTAATGCTAGATCCTCCATATGACCTATAAATATCACAAATCTAGTCGACATAAAAAAGATAAATTCCCTTTTGGAAAATCGGGATCTCGGCCAAAAAACGTCAGGAATTCCTGAATTTTACCGATCGGATAGATCCCTGATATTGATAACTACAAAAGAGATCAACACACATTTTAATTTAATTTACCTTTTTTAATTTACCTTAATTTACCTTTTACCTTTCTTTCCTCCCACACAATTTTTTATATTATTATACATTTATATATATTTTCTATATACTATTCATTCTTGTTGCTCATTTGTAAGAACATTGTGTTCCTTTTTTATAATTTTTTTAAAAAAATAATTTTTATCGGCCGATCGGTTGTTGGTGACAGAGCTCCCCACAAAAGCCTTTTTTCTGCAAAGTGTTGATTTTGCTTGGATGGGCACTTTAATGTTCTTGTTTTTGTTGTTGTTGCTGCCAGTCATTGCTCTCCAACAACGGCAGGCCTTTTCTCTTTCTATATACTCTTCGTTTTTCTCTGTTTTTTGAAAATACCTCTTCCAAACAAAAATCATCCCCATCAGAATTATGTAAAAGCTAATTAATATCAATATTAAATTAAAATGTGTGTTGATCTCTTTTGTAGTTATCAATATCAGGGATCTATCCGATCGGTAAAATTCAGGAATTCCTGACGTTTTTTGGCCGAGATCCCGATTTTCCAAAAGGGAATTTATCTTTTTTATGTCGACTAGATTTGTGATATTTATAGGTCATATGGAGGATCTAGCATTAAATTTTTAACTGGCTTTTTTCTGCTTTCTTCTGGGCCTGGAAATTTAAAAAACTTTAAAAATAATTTTATTTTGAAAGAAATTTCTGGACCCTACTGGGAACCTTAAAAAACTGAATTTTATTTTGGAAATTTTTTTCCGATCTTGAGGCCTATCATTATATATAGTTACGCCGCCTTAATGGCAGCAGCAACCTTTTAAAAAAGGTTGCTGCCTCTGATTTTTCTAAACTTTTTATTGACCTTTATCTACTTGATCTTTGTATTTATTTCAAAAAATATTTTTAAATGTTGATCTTCTGGCTTCCAACTTGTTTTGGGTCCCCTTTCCAATTGTTTTCATCCTTAAAGCCTTTTGTACATCCCGCGGTGTCCCTTTCAATTTTTACCCATTTTTCTTCCATTTTTTCAATGTCCCCTTCCTCTCTCTCCATTTTCTTTCTAATTATTCAATTTTTACAGTTCAAACTTTAAAAAATTTTTTCAAAGAAAACTGGCGACTAACAAAAACTCTTTTAAATTTTAGAAAAAAACGGAGAGAAAAATGTGAAATATAGGCGCTGTGGGAAAGTTTTTTTTGGTGAAATTCAGTCCTATTTACAGCTTCTTTTTTTAAAGATTCATTTAAATTTAGGTTTAAATGGCTACTCTATAAAAAATAGAGGATTTATCCATTTACTCTATTTTCTCAAAAAAATTTTTTCCTAAACCGTTCGACTTTTCTTTGTTTTTTCTTCACTATTCTTCACGTTTCTTCATTTTCTTCTTCAATTTTTCTTCTTCATCCTTCATCTTCATTTCTTCACATTTCCCT